CGCCATATAAATCTTAGTTAGAGACGGAATCAGCATTGCTTCACCGTTTTGAAGTAGTGCCGGGAATATGTCATCCACACTCGCAGATTTAAAAGACTGAAAAGATCTCACAGCAATTGTGGCAATTGTGAAAATTTCATCAGCTATATCTGGTATGGTGTTTTCTGTTCTCTAAAACACTGGCGAGGTCTCTATAGAAAACATTTCACCAACAGAATCAGAATTATCTGATTCCACACACAATACCGAACCTGGAAAATGTGTTCCCATCATTGAATTTAAGGTTTCAGAGGGAGATTTGGTAAAACCTCCATCATGACATTTAAGATTACCAAGTTCAATCGTATGGTCTTTCGCAAGGGTTTTCTGTAATCTCGCGAATAAAGGAGTACTGTTTATATTTTTACACATTTGAATCCAAGACCGCCTCTTAGATTTCCGTATTTCATTATTATATTCAGATAGGGTTTTCTTATATTGAGTTCAATCAGAAGTGATTTTCGCCTTTCCGAAACTTTCCGAAGGCGTTCCAATTTTAAATTCCACCACGGCACATCCCTGTTAGAAGACGACCGTTTGATAGGACAGCTACTATTGTAGGAATTTATAATTCTTTCGTTTACCTTTTCAGAAAATGATTCCAATTGTTGGATAGAATCAATCTTTATGTCGTTTGTAAATATATCTGAATCTAAGCACTGTGCATATTGATCCCAGTTTGTTTTCCTAGGATCTCTAAATGCAGAAGGTGGTAAATCACCTCCACCCCATTCGAACATAATTTGTTTATGATCAGAAAGTGAAATTTCATCTGACGCCAATTTCGAATCTTCTCAGAAATTGCTGTGCAGGGCAAAATGTCAAGTCTAAAACTTCCTGTCTAATGGTATTTGAAAAAGTAGGTTCATTTCCTTTGTTGCATATGTCTATATTATAAGATGAGAGAAATTTCCAAAGGCACTCACCTCGACTATTGATGTCCGTACTACCCCACACGGTATGATGCGCATTTGCATCACAGCCAATGATGAACGACTTGTTGTATTCTCTGCAATATTGGACTAATGAGGCGATCTCAGGAGGAAGTCCTTAGGAACATCACCAGGAAAATAAGCCGAAGCAACTACAATCTCGGTTTTTCCCTTGATGGTTGGTACCTCAACCATGACTGCGACGATGTCCCGTTTAATGAATTCTGTAATAGGGTAGCATTTCAATGTTTAATTAACCAGAATAGCAGTTCTAGTTAAAGTCTACTTTTCGTCATAGTATAACTTTTCTTTTCCTTTATTTAACGTCGGTCTCTGTTCCGCAATCTAGTGCCAATCACCGACGGACATCGATTGCCATCCATTGACGGCAATCGAATGTGCAGGAAGGCAGCTTCCACACCTGCGTAGGATATCGCACCCATTCACAAACACACATGGGCCGGGACCAACGGCTTTACTTCCCTTCCGAAGGAAGACGTGACCAGAGATTTTTATGCCTCAGAAAAATCCCACCGACCTCGACTGGGATTGAACCCAGACCCATTGGGGTGTTAGAAAGCAGTCACGCTTACCACTACACCACCGGCGCCGGCTAGTAGTAGTAGTATAACTTACATGCGTTTATTTCAATTCCTTGTATTTTTTTTCTCTGTTGGATCATGGCTCTTGAATAAGCGCCATGTCCAGCTCCTCCTTTTCGAACCTCCGACCAGTGTTGGGAAAATATCAAAAAATCAAATCTCACCAACGCCCAAGATCACGCTTGATTTTCGTAGACAAAAATCAACAAGCAAACTACTGCGGTTGATTTTTCAAGGTGTGATATCGCAGCTCAGAATATCAAGCTAACAAAACTTACCAACTGCAAATCTCACCAAACTGTGGTGAGATTGAGTTTAATGATTTTTGCTTTACACCCGAATGCAACCGAAACTTCCATAACGGCTTGCAGCAGTCCCTTCGCGTCTGCTATCGGTGAAGATTAAAAAGAGATAGCAAACTATGCTTCCACTTTCTAAGAAAACGATGTGCAATGGAATCATTTTTGTGTCGAGTCAACTCTCAACTTGATCTTTGCACGTTGTGAATAGCCTCGCAATATCAAAGGAGCTTGTAAAATCAATATCAAGCATGATATTTTGTTCCAATATCATGCTCGATATTGCGAACGCATGAGAGCGGAAAAATATCAATTGATTTCTGATTTTTCCAACACTGCCTCTGACTCAATACAGCAGAAGCACCTTTTGCATGGTGAAGGTTCACTTGCAGGAACTTAATGGGTTTCATTTTGTTTCTAAGATCGCTCATCTTTGCCTTTGGGGCGAGCGATAGACCCATCGTTTGATAGTCGAGTTTTGATTTTTCTTAGCTGCGTTTCACTAAATCGAAAGTTCAGTACGAAGTCACGTTCCGACAGTGTCTTTGCGTTGGAGCGATTCAATATTTTCCAGCCATTCGTGCTTAAACCATCATTTCGACTCTCAATGAGTCTCGTAAGCCTCTCATCGCTGAAGTCTGCACTTAGTGGGAAGAATGCATAGAATATTTCCGGACGAGGGACCTCTTTCTCATCCAGGGCAATATTCTCGGGATTTTCCCAAGGGGTGAGTACCTTTGTCACATATTTTAGCCACGTTGCTATTGTTTGATCTTTGCAACGTGGTTTTATATGCTCATGCCTTTGCTCCTCGATTTTTAATAGCACAGCATCCTGTACAGCATCGAGTTGTGCTGTGTTAATTTGTTGTTCCGGGTATCTTTTTACGATTATTCCAATCTTAACTAGACTTGCAACATCTTTGAAGGAGCGACCATCTAAGTTAGAATCAGCTGATGAACTTTTGGGATACCCTGAAGCTCCTCCATTTCTATCAGCTTTTCCTTCACTCTGGTCAGTAGACTGATGCAAAATTTGAAATTTTCGCTCCACAGTGCTCAAACGGCTTCAAATCAGGTCCTGATTAGCCTCCCAAAATTTAAACTCATTTGGTAAGAAACTGACTTGGCACAAATCATTCGAAGTTTATATGGAAATTACTATGGGAAAACCAAACTTTTTGTTCATTGTCTTCTACCCATTTTCCATATTGCTTTTTCGAAAATTTCTATAACTATTCTTACGGAAAATTTTCTAAGCTACAACTTTGCCCAGTATCGTTTTTCAGCTAAATGTCAAACTGAATAGTTATTAATTGTTTGAGAGATTGGTAAACTAACGACATGATCAAGCAGCTGCTCTGTAGGCAACACTGTATTTTGCAGTGTGACATAGGCTATAGCCATGATATTTCTCGATGAACATTTCAAATGGTCCTATCTGATTTGATCGATTCTCTTCATCGACTTTCTCTTTTGATAACCACGTCTACGCAAATGCATTTAGTGCTATTTTTGCCACACAGTTTGATGAAAGAAGTTCCTATCTTGTGCATAGAACGTTGAACACAGCAGGGAATGCTTTTGAAGTTGAGCTATTAATGAAAGAGAAAGTCGATGAAGAGAATCGTTCAATGCAGATAGGACCTTTTGAAATGTTTATCTAGATTTGTGCTCTATTCTTCTCACCAGAAACACCAATGTTGCCTGCTGAACAGTTGAATGAGCATAATCATAAGACATCAGTGACTTCAATCATTAATAACTTTTGTTCCGTGAATTTGATTGAAAAGTGGTTTTCAACAAAGTTGTAGCTGAGAAAATTTGCTGCAATTACTGTTATCATTTTTAAAAGCACAGTAATGTGATGAATTGTTAGATAAATATAAACAAAAACATAAGTTTTCCCATAGTAATTCCCATATAAACTTGAAATGGTTTGTGCCAAGTCAGTTTTTTTATTAAAGTAGTTCAAATTTTTGGAGGATAAGCAGGACCCAATTTGGAACCGTTTGAGCACTGTGGAGCGAAAATTTCAAAATTTTCATTAGTCTACTGGTCAGCCTCATTCATTGATTTTGCCTGATTGCCAGTATTGGATAATCCAGCGCGCACTTTTGGACAAAGATTCGACGTTGTCCTTTTAACGTCCGGCTTTTCTCCACTGCTACCTAGATCGTTATCTCTCGATCGCTTAGCAGTGTTTGGATTCATAGAAACAGCGTTAGCAAAAACTTGTTTCCGAGCTTCCTGCATGCACATCCCTGATTCAATGCATTTCTTAATTTTGTTTCTTTTTGTTTCCGAAAGATTTTTGCGCCACTTGATTTTCGACGCACTTTCAGTGGAAGGGTTACTTTCATTCCCACTAACGATAACCGACTTTATGGTGACGTTTATTCTATCATCATCTTCGTCACTCTCGCTTAACATCGGACCGTCTTTCAAGTCGTCGCGTTTTGGAGTATCGAGGGTAGAAGAGGAACAAGATTGCACCTCTGAGATAGAATCACTCAAAAGTTGAAAAAGATCTGTTATAGCTGTACACTCGTGATAATCTTCAACAGTAGCACCAAAAAACGCACGTGATAGCATTAATTAGCCATATTCAACGTCACGTTCGCTCATTTAATGGGAAACAGTGGTGAATAGCAAATCAGCAGCATTTATTTGCACCACCGCAAATGAATTTATTATCTGCTGATAATGACGAATGTAGCGTCATCAGGAGTAGCATCATCATTTAAATTTCATCGACTAATCGTTCGTGCACATATTCCATTTATTCTTACTAATTCGAGTACTCCTCATAGCTGATAACTACAATGAACTTGCTATTGAAATGCACTGAGCTGCAGCGGTGTTCATCTCGACGTGCTTCTGACGATTGATTCTCAAAGCCGGTTTCTACTATAGGTATACCTACCTGTGTAGACGCTCAGGTTTCAATCCTACCGCCAGATTCATTCTGCTTACGCTCAACTCAAGTCAAAGACCATTGGACATGGACACACCAAAATTACGCCATAGTCAACATGTAACGAACAAGAAACTGTATAAACGAAACGAATAACCTTTCCAAGTAAGCATTTTGCTAAGTCATAAAATGTAAATCTCTGATTTTGCCGTGTGCTTACAAACTTTAACACTCTTTACGATTGCGAGTCAGGTAGACAACTCGCAGTGCTACAGGAATTAGTTTGTAAACAGATTATCTTCGAGTAGCAACCGTTCGTCGATCTCGGCTGCAGAGATCATTCCTGACTCGTATTTTGGTTATCGCGTGTTTGTGAATTGATGGTACATATTATGATGGATTCAAGCAGATTCAAATACTTTTGTCTATTGGTTATTGTGTTTTGCAGTTCTGGTGAGTAACTACAGAAATTAAATTAACGCTACATTGTTCAATAGGACTCAGGGAAATCCCTAGAAAACACGTTGCTGTTCTGTTGCTTGTTGTTATTCCGATTTAATAATGCTAATTGCAGGGGATCCACCAGTCAAGTCCAACACATTTGCTATGCATTAACATTCCGCCAGCCATCCGTAAATGTGACACATGTCGCAGATCAATATTACAAAAGCATAACAAATTTGTCCTTCCCATTGTAGGTAACTGTGTGCTATACCCCATCAACCCATTTCGAGATGTATTGCAAACCTCAATGTTTCCAAACGAGAGACTCTCGCTGGACGGTAAGTTCATAAAGTTATGCCGCAGATACATACTCTTGCCCAGTAAACAACGAAACATTTGCATAATCACATCATCAGATTGTCACTTGCGGTACTACAAATACGGCAAAGAGGGCCTGGTAGCTCCGGCCTTCGGGGAGCCGGCCTATTTGAAGGAGTTTGCCCACATGGCCGCCATAGGATGGACCCTACCGAACGGCACCATCAACTGGAAATGCGGTGGCTCACTGGTTTGGGATAATTACGTTCTCACCGCGGCGCATTGTGTCTCAGATAAGTAGGGGACACGAATTGTTCGCAAATTATTGCACGCCCGCAATAACCTTCGCCGTATTCCATTCTAGTGGCACAGCTCCCGATGTGGCTCGGTTCGGTGACATCAACATTTTCAGCGACGAGGATGATCAGTATGCTCAGCAACTGCGGATTGTGAACATTTTCCGACACCCGGAGCACAGGTTTTCCGCTACGTACAACGATGTTGCACTGCTGAAGCTGGAAGCCAATGTGACGTGAGTATTTACAGCGGAAAATTATGATGATTAATCTACTCAAGCTCGATGTGGGGCTCAGCGTTGCACTACTTTGCCAAATATCCTGGCACAGAATACGGAACAAGTTCAAGACTGATTCATGTTATATAAACGTGCTTTGCAAAACGATTCATTTCTCAACAAGGATTATGTCGGAGGATGAAACCTTGTAAATTTAGTGCGTCACTTAAGGATGACTACAGATCACCTTTAAAAATTATGTTAGTTTGATCTGCAACAGCAGGGCGTTTGAGGTGTTTATAGAAACTTGATTAGTTTTTAGATGATTTTGAAGTCGCAGGAGGACGTTCTAAGTGGCTGAAATTTTGGGAGGTTGAACAGCAACAACAAGGCCTTTACCAGAGGTGGCAACAGTATATTTTTTGCAAAACCATCATCCAGAGCAAAACAAAACAGCCATCACACGGGCGGTCGTATATTTCTACATTACAAGCAAACGGCGAGATAGAGAATTGACAAATCCATGTTTCAATCGACCACCGTGACGCTGCAATCGCAGCGGTGATAAGTCCGAAATAATGTGTCAAACAGAATACATTTTTGAAATTTCCACCAAAAAACTATTATTTTCTATTCATTCTAGCGAGTTTCTGTGGAAGTCAAAACATGATCCGAGCAAAAAAGTAGTACTCGTAATAATAGTATATAATGCTGAATTTTATCGTGCTTTGTTTCGAAAATATCTTCCAAATAAACAAACATCATCCAAATCACCCGATGCGTCCATCGACTAAATCCATTGCCACTTAAAAATTAATTTCAGTCGGTGTATTAAAAAGCACATTAAAACGTTTTTCGTCTGGTGCTACCCCGAGCAATCGGCCTATTTAATAGTTTTTCGTCGATTGATTTAGTCGGCCAACTTTGTCTGCTGTTTAATCGGCAGATGATTTCAAACCTTAACATGTTTTCAGTGATTTATAAGTCTTGAAGTAGCTTTTTATTTAAGAACAATGCATTACAGAATAGTTTTATGCATTTTGTACAAGATTCATACATGCTGACAACAAATTTTTATGAAATTACATTGAAATTAAATAATTTGGCAAACAATCAATGAAATTGTCAAGGGCTGGTCACAGACTTATCACCGTCGGTTAGTGCTTATTCCTGTCACCAGGCGCGCAGGAGTTTAAGTTGGATTTCTCAATAGGAAAAATGTCTTAGCCCACACACTTAGAATAATTGATGTAAATTTAGGTGCTCTGAGACTGACATATACGAGCATCAATTAACCACTTTATTCGAGCATGTAAAATGACGTTTACTACCACTGGAACTTTGAAATAAAACATTATTTTGAGATTATTTCTTCTAGAACCACGAGAAAAGTAGCCAACATTTGTGCGTTTCATAAACAAATAAAACTTAGTTGGTCCAGTTTTGTGAAATCGCTGGTAGAAAGTCACGCCAAAACTGATTGACAAAGTGGTCAATTTTGACATAAAGTTGAGTCATAATAGACGCGAAATTCAGCTCAATCCAATGTCTTGGAGCACTTAATTTTACATGACATGTTTGTTTACGTCTCATCCTTTATGTCAAAGATAGATTCTGTCACGTGTAAAATTGGGAATTTCTAAGTGTGTATTAGTTTTCAAACAGTTTATTGAAATCACATTTTAGCTGCAAGCTTGCGTGTGACAGTATATAATTAACTCCCTTATTTACGCATAATTTTGACATCTATGCTTATGAGTAATGTGTAATTAAGTGTTCCGAGACTGAAATGTTTGAAAATACGTTTGATTGAGCTGAATTTCGCGCCTATTGTTGCTCACGGGATCGTATTGGGATTGGGTTTTTGTTTTGGTCCGGGGTTGGGGATACTAGGTTGGTGTTTGCACCCGTGAGGGTCTTTTGGTTCCCGTTGCGAGAATCGTTTAGGGTTACGATTCAAATGGTTGCCAAGCCGATGCGAAGGTAATCGGCTCACGTGTGCTAGGATGGGGAGGTTTTGTGAGCAGAGTTTTCCTTCTTGAAGGATACGTGAAGTTCCAAGTTAACCAGATCTCTTCAATCCAAACTGCTGGCCAGTTGCCACAATCTGTAATTGATTCCAATTGGTTGGGTTCCACCTAAAGAGAGTCCGGTATCACTTGCCAAATTTAGTTGGTGGCGAGTAAGGGGCTTCCGGATACAATCTTTCGGCTGGATTGCTAACCAATTCAGACTCAAGACCTGATATAACTTACCGATTGGGTTTCGGATGAGTGAGCCGCATCAACGAATAGTCAAATAACACACTGATTTTATTTCTAAAAAGGGTCGGGCCCTAGAATTTGGGCGTTGGTACATCGTGCGCATGTGCACTTTGCTGCTATGCAAGGGTCTAATTCACCTAGGCTCAAGTCCCTACGTACAAGTCCTATGGCCTTCAATGCATCGCCTAAGTGACGATATGGTTTTATTTACGTCCCGAATTTTATTACCTTTCTTCTAATTTCGGGAGTCGGGCGATGCGTATGATCATCCAGCGCTACAATTCTTAAACAATTTACTTCTTAAAGTAGACGCGGGCCTTACCTCTTGCAGGTAATTTACTGAACCTTCCCTAACATCTTCTAGCTGGTTCTATAAATGCGCCCTTGCTTATTTAGGTATCGTTCTTCTAATACTCGGCCGTACCACCGCGTATTGAGTCTTTTACGACCTTTTTATGGGCTAGCGTTCTATCCTCATTTCCCTATCGAGCAGATGCCCTTCGCTCTACGCCCGGTTCAAGTGCACGCCTAGCGCGCTGCATGCTATGATGCCCTTTTAAACGGAGAAGCGGCAGTGAAAGTAAAAGTCTATTCTTATCGGCAGGCATTCGTACTGTGCGTACGGTTGCCTTACTAGGCATGGGCTTGCGGCTTTGCTTGCCGGCGCAAGGCTGAGCAGTACACGTGTGTATCTATGCCGTCCTTTGGCTTGTGGCTTTTGGATGATGATGATGATGATGATGATGATGATGATGATGATGATGATGATGATGATGATGATGATGATGATGATGATGATGATGATGATGATGATGATGATGATGATGATGATGATGATGATGATGATGATGATGATGATGATGATGATGATGATGATGATGATGATGATGATGATGATGATGATGATGATGATGATGATGATGATGATGATGATGATGATGATGATGATGATGATGATGATGATGATGATGATGATGATGATGATGATGATGATGATGATGATGATGATGATGATGATGATGATGATGATGATGATGATGATGATGATGATGATGATGATGATGATGATGATGATGATGATGATGATGATGATGATGATGATGATGATGATGATGATGATGATGATGATGATGATGATGATGATGATGATGATGATGATGATGATGATGATGATGATGATGATGATGATGATGATGATGATGATGATGATGATGATGATGATGATGATGATGATGATGATGATGATGATGATGATGATGATGATGATGATGATGATGATGATGATGATGATGATGATGATGATGATGATGATGATGATGATGATGATGATGATGATGATGATGATGATGATGATGATGATGATGATGATGATGATGATGATGATGATGATGATGATGATGATGATGATGATGATGATGATGATGATGATGATGATGATGATGATGATGATGATGATGATGATGATGATGATGATGATGATGATGATGATGATGATGATGATGATGATGATGATGATGATGATGATGATGATGATGATGATGATGATGATGATGATGATGATGATGATGATGATGATGATGATGATGATGATGATGATGATGATGATGATGATGATGATGATGATGATGATGATGATGATGATGATGATGATGATGATGATGATGATGATGATGATGATGATGATGATGATGATGATGATGATGATGATGATGATGATGATGATGATGATGATGATGATGATGATGATGATGATGATGATGATGATGATGATGATGATGATGATGATGATGATGATGATGATGATGATGATGATGATGATGATGATGATGATGATGATGATGATGATGATGATGATGATGATGATGATGATGATGATGATGATGATGATGATGATGATGATGATGATGATGATGATGATGATGATGATGATGAATCTTCCGCAGTGTGAGGACTATATCCAGAAAAACGGCCATTTATACCTGTATTCCGGGTGCGAGACTCAAACCATTGTAGGCTACTCAAAGCTATTTTTTTACTATAACTACTACAAAATCAAAAAAACTAAAAATCCTTCATCACCATAGTGGCGAGCAATGTAGTTTTTTGTACATGCTACACAAATTACTAATTTTTTTTCCGAATTTGTGGCACGTGCCCATGCCCGTGATTAAAAAGTTCCAGCAGAGTGTGTCGAATGACATGAATGCAATCTTGAATAACTCTACAATTAAAATTATCTACTCCAGCCGTTTTTCCCAAAGAAAAGCAAATAATTTTAAGTTCATTTAATGTAATTGGGTGAAAACCATCTTATACCAAAATTTTAAGAGGTTGATCGTTGTTGACTTTGAAGTATCACAAGCAGGCACTTTCAATCGAAAATCTTCAAGCGACGATGAAGCTGTCAACCATGACTTTCAATTGAAATTCATCCTGTCTTCTCTTCGAGTAGATCCCCGTCAACATCGACAGAACCACTTTCGATCAGTTTTCATGCTGTTTGTTTTGGCTTGACTAGTCTTCATTTCTTCTTTCATTGTCAAATGAACTTACTTTTGCATTGAAGCGAAGCTGTTTGGTCCAAATTCGCGCAGTTTTTATGACTTTTGTTGTTTGTTCACTCGGTTCATTTAAACGTATGCGCATAGATCTGTGCACGTGGATGCCAAATTTATCATTGTCGGGTGATTTGTTTACCCAGCAATATGGGTAGATTTTGAATCGGGGTGACGTCTAGAGATCGAAAATTGATAT